CTTAAGATTACTCGGTGGTATTTCAACTACGCTTACCGAATTCTCTAAGCCCGCCCTTCTCAAGCAGCGTATAGCTGTACTTATATCATTTGAGATGAAGGGTAGGATAAACGGGATCCTTCTATCGCTAGAGTTGACGTTTGGACGCCTACGGTTTCCTCTACACCTATTCTGAGCTACAGTTTCGTAGCCATTAGAAACGGCTATTTGCCGTGCCAAGTTCCGGGACTCCTCTCTCTGCTCTCTTCCCGTGCACACGTTGGTTGCTGTTCGAAACATGTTTCTTATAAGCGCCCTTTTCGTGTGAGAGGGGTGAGAGGAGAGGTAATGAACCAAGATATTTTTACTACTTGGCTTGCGGTACCACTCTGTAATGTAGCCATTTTCTGATAGGTGAATTTGTACGTTCAAAAATGGAAGCCATTTTTCTTTCGGCTTTTCTCGGGTGAACTTGATATACTCTGACTGTGCGTTTAACAATTCGAAGCATTTGTTCATTTTCTCTTGTGTTGAGCAAAGGACAAAGCAGTCGTCTACATACCTACAGTAGAGTAGCGGCCCGAGATCAGTCACCGGTGCTTCCACCTTAGACATAAATGCAATGGCAAGGCTTTGAGCCAGTCGTTGTCCCATTGCCAACCCTCTTACACGCACTGGAAGAGAGCATAGAGAGGAGTCCCGAAACTTGGCACGGCAAATAGCCGTTTCTAATGGCTACGAAACTGTAGCTCAGAATAGGTGTAGAGGAAATCGTAGGCCTCCAAACGTCAACTCTAGCGATAGAAGGGTCCCCGGAAAGCAAGACCCTAGTTCCACTCTGTTCCTATCGTTGTCCTGCACACGAAGGAACACTTTAGCTCGACTATCTCCAAGATTGGAAGAAGAATCGACTCAGCCAGCATTTTACAAGACGAAATCCTCAAGCGGCAACTGAAACAACACTCGAAACGTTCGAAAAAAATTGCAGACGATGAATGCAAAAAAAAAGAACGAATCGAATGGAAGCATGTTGGAATTTGCACAGTAGGTGTGGTGACAGATCATCCAAAGTGGAGTAAAAAAAAGTAAAAAATGAGCAACAATTTTACTACTTGGTACTGTGGTGAGTAGTCACATGCAGATTCATCCGTGCTCTATGAAATCCATGGGGAAGTAATTTTAAGAGTAATGGTAGAGAGAACACGGTCTCAAAGGCCTTCAGTCCAAAGACCGCAAGGATTGGATTAGAGAAGTTTATTTAGCTAAAGTTCCAGCGTCATCGTCTTTCTCGGAGCCGGTGATCTGAGTCGATGGCTCACAAGCTTTCGTCTTCTCGTTTTGCAGAATAGGTATAGAGGAAATCGTAGGCCTCCAAACGTCAACTCTAACGATAGAAGGGTCCCGTTTATCCTACCCTTCATCTCAAATGATATAAGTACAGCTATAAAACGCTGCTTAAGAAGGGCGGGCTTAGAAAATTCGGTGAGCGTAGTTGAAATACCACCGAGTAATCTTAAGCGCCAGCTAGTTCGTAACCGCCTATATGACCGTCTATGTGGAACTCAAAATTGCATAATTTGCCCCAGTGGTAGAGACGGTGATTGCATGAGCTCGGGTATAGTTTATCTGATCTCCTGTAAGACGTGTGGTGACGAATACATTGGCGAAACGGGTAGACCCCTCTGTGTCCGCATGAAAGAACACCTAGCCGGCAAAAATAGACCAAATACCCCGCTAGGCACGCATAGGACCCAGAGACATAACGGGGACGACTTCGAAGTATGTGTCACGATCCTCGCACGCGAATCAAGAACACAGGCGAGAAAATCTCTCGAGGCACTCTGGATTAATTCCAGAAATTCGAAAATGAACCGCAGGGAAGAATGCCTCATTATCACGCGTGATATAGGGCAGTATATAAAACTGCTTTTCTGATGTGAAGGGCACATTATACTTCCACGTGATTTCTGTGCGGTTGGTCTCTACGTGACATACTTAGTGGAAACCTCATAGAAAGCGGTGAGTGTGCAAAGCTGTGTTCAAAGTGATTGAAATCTTGGTTTGGAGTTTCTTTGTTTGGTTATGGAGGCGTCTGGCCGAGTGGATTG